AAACCCTAAACCCAAAACCCAAGGTTTGCTGCAGCAATCGGAGCAGCAGCGGCTGCCCCGGTCCGCGACGGGATTTAGTGCCGCCATCAGCGCCTGCGCGCGTGGCACAGAGTGGCAGGCTACATGAGAGGTTAGGGTTTAGGGCTTATAGGGTTTAGGGTTTAGGGTTTAGGGTTGAGGGTTGAGGGTTGAGGGTTGAGGGTTGAGGGTTGAGGGTTTTGGTTTGCAGATCCACCCAAACCCTGACTTGCAGTGGCTTCGGCTGCCATGTTTGTTTCTTACCAAGTTCATGATGAGGCTTTTAAGCCCGAAACCCCAAACCCCCAAACCCTAAACCCGAAACCCTAAACCCTAAACCCCTAAACCCTAAACCCTAAAACCCTAAATCCCTAAAGCCCCTAAAACCCAAAACCCCAAAACCCCCTAAACCCTAAACCCTAAACCTCTAAACCGCTATAGGACGGCAGGATCCCATCATAAGACCGGTTCGCCAGAAGGAGATGCGTACCTCGATAGAAGGCCTAGGCATGGCGGAGGGTCCGGTGATGTCGTACTTATGGAACAGGGTTTAGGGTTTAGGGTTTGGAGTTTAGGGTTTAGGGTTTAGAGTTTAGGGTTTAGGGTTTGGGGTTTAGGGCTGTGAGGACTTCTCTGTGTTTGGGCTGCTTACTATGTATCACTGACAGATTTAGGCTCGATGGACCTTCGTTTAAGACTGCAGAAGTTCTGCAACATGTCCCCGAAGCCTGTGGAGATACCTCTGCAAATCCACTCCCCAAACACTAAAGCGAAAACTGAAGGCTTTAACGACTAAAACTCCAAGAACCCGAAACCCTTAAGACCCGAAGCCTTCAAGATAAAAATGAATCTGTGGGAACCTGAAACCGTACGACCCCAAGTCAATCCGGAAACCATCACCCCGAGCCCGAAATCCTAAACGCTAATATAAGGGCCTAAATAATCACCAACACTACCCCCCTAAACCCTTAACCCTGAACCCTAAGCCCTAAGCCCTAAACCCTAAACCCTAAACCCTAAACCCTGAACCCTACGCCCTAAGCCCTAAACCCTAAACCCTAAACCCTCCCTCTCCGCCTCCGGCCCTTAGCCCACTACCAGGTTGCTCTGGCGTTGCTTAACGAGGTTCAGAAAGCTGGTGTGCCCTGTTTGAGATTAGGCTTAAGGGTTTAGGGTTTAGGGTTTAGAGTTTAGGGTTTAGGGCTCCATGTACCTATATAGTATATGCTTGGTTATGAATACTGTTTTCAGGTATGTTGGGGCCAATGTACACTATCTGCATGCATGGACGATGTTACCGAACGAGAATGTCATTCGAGTTTTGTCCAGTCTTGCATGAGATGTGGGCTCCGCTTTGGGTGTAGGGTCAAGGCGTAAGGGTAGACAGTTCAAAGTGTGGAGTAGGGTTTAGGGTTTAGGGTTTAGGGTTTTGGTGTTATAGATAGTTTTTTTCTGAAATAGCGTACTAGATCATCATAGAATGACAAATACCATGACATAATAAAATATGGCTACGAGGTGCAGGCATTTTCCGTGCTGTGTGTCTGCGTGGCTTGAGCTTGAAACGCTGAACAGGAGTAGAGGTTTAGGGGTTTAGGCTTTAGGGCTTAGGGTCTAGGGGTTTAGGGTCAAGGTGTTGAGGTGATTAAGGTCTCGGGGCATCGGGTATCTACGCACCGATATGAGCTTTTTCAAGGAACCCCTGACAGGAATCTTTGAAAGAACTCTTAAGGAACTCTTAAGGACCCCTTCCGAGATCCCCTTTAGATCGCGCTTTGAAGCACTCTTTCAAGCCGCTCCAAACCCTGTCTTGGAGCTGGAGAAGCTGCTCCGATTTACGTCATACCGCAACCACTCATAGGAAAGCCCTAAACCCCTCAACCCTAAACCCCGCAACCCTAAATGAGCCCTAAACCCTAAACCTTAAGCCCTAACCCGAAACCCTAAACCCTAAACCCAAAAAGGAACTACTATGGGGCCTATGGGTAGGGGCTTATAAGCCCTAATTAATTTTGGAACCTTGAAATGGAGAGAGAGCCCAGGTGGACGCCATACTTCTCAGCGCCTCCATCAGCGCTTGCGATCGGGCAGCGGAGTGGCCGCTTATCTGGGTTTAGGGTTTAGGGTTTAGGGTTTAGGGTTCGAGTCCATCTCAGGGTTCCTTAGCAAGGGTTTCTATAAGAGTACTATAGGGGTTCTTTTTGGGTAGTTCTCGAAATTAGGTTTTTTTTTTAAATTGGGATGCCGTGCTATATTTGAAGCGGTTTAGGGATCTAGTTGCATAAGAGTTTACGACTTTGGGGCTTAGGGCTTGGGTTTTAGGCTTTGTGGTTTAGTTCGGAGTGTTCCGGTGTTGGGTTTTTCATTTACTGTTGGGGCTCTTCTTGTGGCTTCGCTTTGGTTGGTCTCAGTTTGTGGGGCTCGTGGGTTTCTTTCGAGACGTGATGCTTCCTTGAGTCGAATTCCCGTGGTTTAGGGTTTAGGGTTTAGGGTTTTTCGTCATGTCACTGTCCATCTGAATCCACAAATGAAGGTGCAGGGCGTGCGCATTTTGACACGAGGTGTGGAAGGGGCGGGGGGCTGTTTCTGCTGTAGGAGCCACGTAGTGCGCGAGGGTCTAAGTGCCGCAGAGCTGATCTTATTAATACTCCCCATACCGAGCTATCCCTTCAGGGAAAGCCTCGGTGTCTCTCTACAATACCTTTGCAGAAACGCACAAATAGACATGCTCCAGTCCCCCAGTGCTTCCTGACAGAAATCAGGCATCCCCTCCTAAACCCTACAAGCCGTAGACCCTGAAGCATTCCCCTAAGCGAAGCCCTGAAGGAAACCCTTAAGGGAAGGGCAGAACCAGGTATTTGGTTTTGGGATGGCCGTAATGTAGGTTCGTGTTTGAGCGAGTACATGATCATTACATGCCTACACAGCTTCAGCGCTCCCATCTGAGGTTCATGTGCGTAGTTCAAAATGCGAAGTATTTGTGTGTGTGATTATATATATATATGTTTATTTGTATATACACATATATGGAAAATATATATACATATATGAATATGCGTGTGCGTATATATCATGCAAATATGCATGTGTGTTATGTACTGAAGAATTATTTATATCTGTACCATATCCATATCTACATCTACATGTACATCTACATCTCTATCTATATGTGTACCCATCTGTATCCGTATCTGTGTCTGTATCTCTCTGTCTCTCTCTCTCTCTATATATATATATACTATGCGCGGGTGGAAAGGGTTGTTGTACATAAAACGGTAATAGCCTTACAGAAAAACCTACTTAGTATGTTGCCTGATGCTTTGAACTCTACACTCTATAAACCCTTTAAACCCTAAAACCCTAAACCAGAAACCCTATAAATCCTTTAAGCCGTGCCTGATCCTGCAAGTACGGAGCGAGGCAGCGCGCGCTGCTCCTCCTCGGAGACTTTGAGGCCAGCGAATGGGATTGAGCTTCGAAGAGCGAACCTCCGTAATATGGGGGCCTTAATGATTAGGGGGTTCCTTTAAAGGGTTCCTTAAAGGGTTCTATAAGGCTATAAGGGTTTAGGCTGTAGGTGCCTTAATACTTAGAATAGGGTTTTGAAGCCCATTGTACTATAATCATAATAAGGAACCCCCCAACATAGTATTGGTAATCATTTAGGCCCCTGCAGTACGGGCCGGAGGGTTCAGGGTATAGGGTTTAGGGCTCATGGTCCAGGGTTTAGGGTTCAGGGTAGATTCTGGTAGATAGGTAGATATAGTACTTAGACTGTAGGGTTTGGTGGTGTAGGGATTAGGGTTTAGGGTCTACTCAAAGGATCCTACGTACTTAGCTGTATGCGCAGTTCTCTAAACTAGGGTCCTTTAGGGGTCCTTTTGTAAGGGTGCCGTACTAGTGTTGGGGCCTAGACCGGGGCTTTAATTTAGAGAACTTCCCTTTGGTTGTTTCCGAAAATAGGGGACCCCAATATAGGTACTACATAGTAGGATCCTTGGCACAAGGACCCTCAAAATAAGGTACCCCTTATTTTCGGAAACTCCCATATCCCATTCCACAGACTAAGCCTCAAGCCGTCCCTAAACCCTAAACCCTAAACCCTAAATTGAAGCTTATGATACTCACAGGCCCTCAATTTCACGCTCGACTATGAGCCCCCAACACCCTCAAACTAACCGAATCCAAACCCCAAATCCTAAAAACTTGGCCCTAAAGCCTAAACCCTAAAGCCTATACCCTAAAACCTAAACCCTAAATCCTAAACCCTAAAGCTTAAACCCTAAACCCTAAACCCCATAAACCTTATAAGCCCGAGCCCTGGGTTTCACAGGCATATTTGCTGCAACCTACAGCTGTCACCCTGGGTGCCGTCATCAGCGCTTGCGCTAAGGCATCAGTGCCTCGGACCGTTTAGTGTTCAGGGTTTAGGGTCTAGAGTTTAGGGTTTAGGGTCTCTAGGGTCTAGGGTTTAGGTTTAGGGTTTAGGGTTGTCACAAGGGTCTACGGTGCAGGGTTTAGGGTTCAGGGTTAGGGCTTAGGACTTCATCATTAAAGGAGGCAACTGAAGCAGCATATCTGCAGAGCAAAAACAGGGTTTCAGGGTTTCTCCAACGAGATTTTAATATCTCTTTATTGGGTTTGGGCTTCGGCTTCAGGTTTGGTGCTACTGGAAAGCAAGAAGAGCCTCGCACAACTCCTGAGATGCGCCACCTCCGACGTGAAGAGCCTGCTACTCAGCGACAACAGCCGAAGCACCATTTAATTATTGACAAACCAGTCGCAGCTAGTTTACGCCTCTGCAACTAAATCCTGTCGGGCAACACTTATAAAGCCCATTTATAACCGCCTAAACGATATCTTTCGATCTTCTAGAAGTCCAAATCGGGTCCAAGCCTTTGATCCCGGTATTATCTCCCGAAGGGCCCCACCCCCTCCACCCCCAACAACAATGAGCCTCACGAATCCCCGAATCCCTGCAGAAATTCGTTTGAACAAGGAATCAGTTTTTAGGATATTTCAGAGTTTGCGCGCTGGGTTTTATGTTCGGCTTCAGGATTGCCTGTTCAGCCTATGTAATTTAAGTTGTGCAGTTTATAGGCATCTGGGTACAGGGTGTGGAGGTAAAGGACTTAGATCGAGATTATCGCACATATGTGGCTACACTAGTCCCCAATCCTAAGAGTCCATGTCAATATGTAGTATGGACTCTGGCTTTAAAGGGGTTCCTAAACAGGAACTTCTACAGTAACCGTAACGAGGTCCAATGTACAAAATTTTTATTACATAGACCCTGATCGAGAAGATCCCAAAATCCTACAGCGCACCCCCCCCCTCCCGCAGGCAAAATTGTTTTGAGCTTATCACTCTATGTACCGCTTATAAATCCTATCTATCTACCTGCCTACCCATCCGGCCAGCTATCCACCTACCTTCCTATCTATCTCTATCTACTCTAGATATACACCCAAACCCCAACCCCTAAACCCTAACCCCTGTTATACAACAAAAGCTAAGCATGTCTTGTTAGTGTGGCCCTCAACAAAGGACCTAAGCCTTAATCCCTAAACCTTTAAAGGGCCCTATAAAGCCCCAAAAGGAGCCCTTAAAGAACCTAAACCCTAAACCCTA